CGCTCTTTTCTCTTTTGTACTTCCTCCATATTTTTCCACGCACGCCCCGAGGCTCTCTACATATAAACTTCAGTATGCATAAACTTATGCTAAATTCGTAACAAACTATTAAATACTGCCAACATTAGGTTATGTTCTTTAGTAGGTGCTCTGGCGTGGTTTGCTCATTCTTCCCTATCAAACATCTGTGAAATTGGTGACATGGTTTAGGCCGTCCCCCATGGTTTTATGCAAAAATAAATCTGAAATTATGCAAACTGAGCCCAAAAAATGTAAAATTATGCGATTCTGTTTTAACAAAGAATGATTAAGGGAAACAATCGGAAATTATGCAAAAAATGATCAAATTTTGCTAAATTATGCGGGGTGCATAAAACCACGGGGACAGTTTAGGTTTAACACCCGTATTAACATTGTTAGATTATTTAAGAGGCGGGATCTCTGATTTAATGCCCATCTCCAAAAGGACCGAGCCACATGGGAAATTCATGTAAATTGCCTTTCCTACAGGGACACAACGTCAGACTGAGCTGAGGCTCGAACCTCCGAACCCGCAATCTCTCGATAACAGTGTCCGGCAGGCTAATTACTAGGCTACATTCACCACCAAACAACAACTGTCGTCCTTGCCATTTTTATCCCCTGCAAGCGCACACGGAGCCGTCGTCGTGACGTCTCGATCTAATGAAAACCACCACTCCTTGTGTTAGTGTTAGTCAGAGTTTTACGGCACTTGCAGCTCACATGGGCTGTATAACTTTTAAGCGCTGAACATTAGACATGTCGCTAGATACAATGTAGTTAGTTGAGTAGGACTTTTACGGCGCTCGTAACTGCACACACACACACACACACACACACACACACACACACACACACACAAACACACACAAATATATGTATATATTGTGTTATATATAATTCAATACACATATGTGTGTGAGTATGTGTGTGTCGCAAGAGTGTAATATGCAATGAGAAGAAGGTGGAAAGATAACGACGCTATACTATAGGAGTTTGGCAGGATAGGACAGGAGCAAATCAAACATGAGCGCCCGCCAACAACTCCCATACCACTCTTATAATTCAACTCAGTCGCTACGTTTATTTCTCTATCCCGCAAAGGTTTCGGAACCCCCTGGCTCATCTCCATCTTCATCATGGGCTGGACTATGGGCCTGCAGATATCCGGCCGTCTCACCAAGAAGTTCGGTCAGTCGCTGACAAGGTTGCTGGGCATGGTCTTGTTTAACGCCGGGGTGTTCCTCAGCTTCTGGTCCGTTCAAATGTCGGTGGCGGCGCTGGTGGTCACGATGGGCGCCATGACGGGGCTGGGCACGGGTCTCGTTCACGCCCAACTGCTCAACACCATTGTGTACTGGGTCTCGGACAACATCGGCCTGACGACCGCTGCCGTCACCACGGGCTTCAGCGCAGGTAGCATCCTCATCAACGCGTTGGTCACGCTGTATATCAACCCAAACAACTTGGTCCCTGACCTGGAAATGGGCCCCAACAAGTTCTTCACGCAGCCAGAACTACTGGAAAACGTACCTTACGTCTTCGTCATCATCGGTTGCTTCAACGTGGCGGTACACATGGTGAGTTTTTTGCTCATCCGAGACAAGGCTCCTGAGGTGGAAGAAGACGCGGAAAACCCGTCCTCAGACATGTCCATGTCCTCTTCTGACTCCTTCTCTTCCACCCCTACTTCATCTTTAATCAGAGACAAAGAAGAACTAACGCCCATGCTGGAGAACACAGAGGAGGACGAAACCGACATGGAGGCAAATGGATTACTTGAAGACAAGACACACGTTGAAAAGGAGGCGACCATTTCGAAACTTGCTTCAGCACTCAAAGGGACAAAGAACAAACCCGTGACGCAGACAGCTGCAAAACGACGCCAAAACTCATGGCCAGCGGGCAAGGACTTCAGTCCGAGAGAAACGCTCAAAACCGTGGCTTTTTATACTATCTGGATAAACGTTTTCGGAGCAGACTTTGCCTACCTGGTCATCACCAACTACTTCAAGATCTTCGGGCAGCTGTGGATTAAAGATGACCACTTCCTGACCAATGTCGGGCTCAGCTGCACGATAGGCATTGTAACGCTCAAAGTCTTATGGGGAGTTCTGGTGGACAAAACTGGCGTGAAGCCGACCCTCATCTTCTTCCCCGCTTCGGTGGCCTTGACCACTATTTTCTGGTACTTCACGCCTCTGGTCAGTAAATGGCTCTACTTTGTCTGGACCACCATGTTCAGCTGCCTCATATCGGGCCTGTACACCGTCTCCTCAGTAGGCACGCTCCTCACGTTCGGCCGCCAGCACTTCACCACCAACTACGGATTGGTCATGACGTCTAGCCTCGCGCTCAACCTCCTGGCGCCGCCTCTCATCGAGTACATCCTGCACCAGGGCGGCTGGTTTATGATGTTCTTCACGGTCAGTTTCCTGAATGTTGTTGGTCTCATCTTGACAGTCTTGACCTTCCCACAGGTTTGAAGACGCCTGCATTTTAACAAACTGCCCGTAGAGCCACGTAGAGTCACTGTGAGAAAATGCATGGATTTAACAGCCCCTTTCAAAAACTATAAGATTATTTAAGAGACAGCAAGACATACGAATTCAACGTCCATCTCCTAAACGACCACGCCAAAAGATTGGAGAGCCTTAAAAGCTCCCCAAAACAACCAAAGTTAATAAAGAACGGGTTTCGAACGAAATCCATTCACTTCGTAGTCCAGCATGATACCAACTGAGCTACCATTGAGCCCAAGAGTCACCGTGTGCACAATTCGCATGAGTAAGAAAGGGAAAAAAACTCCTGCTGTAACAGCATTATGGGGCAAGACTGTGCTAATTTCTTCTCATCGGAACACCATTGAACTTTTGCTGACTGGTGTGCGAGTCATTTTACTTTCCCTCTGTTGTTTCTGTCTGTCTGACCTTCTTTTTTCCAGCAATACATGACCATTGTTGTGTCAATGTGCTTCTCTCTATGCAAACAAACAAGCTGACTGGTTGGATTATATGCGTGTAAGTGTGTGTGTGCGTGTGCGAGTGTGTGTGTGAGTGTGTGTGTGTGTGTGTGTGTGTGTGTGTGTGTGTGTGTGTCCGTCTGTATGTTTGAGGGTGTGTGCAGGCAGCGTTCCTGTGAGTCTGAGTAAAGAGAAGCACACCAACATAATAACGGTCAATTAGTGCAAGGAAAACAAGCAAGGCAGGTAGAAATGAACAACATTGTACGTGTAGGTGTATACTTGTATATATGCATGCGTGTATATGCGGACGAGAATGATAAATGAGAATAAACGTGTGAGGGTTAACTGCCCACTGCAACTTTCATCTGGTACCGGGTTGTACGCTTTTGGCAACATCCGCTGCCAGCTGACAATGTACATTACCCACCGCGCCAACCTTCCATAGGAGAAAAATGTGGCGTTGGTAGCCTTATGGTTAAACAACCGGACACGCCATCGTGAGACAACGGGTTCGGCGTTTCGTGCCTCAGCTCGGTCTGACGTTGCGTTTTTGGGTAAGGCATTTAGGACGAATGTCCTATTTTGATCTGTCATTTCCAAGATGGAAGCAGAATTCGGAGGTCCGACATCTTAAATAATCAAAGAGTGTTTATAGGGGGGCGTTAATACACAGGCAGGAGGGTGCGGTGGCGGAGCAGTTAGTGCGCTCGTCCCCGAAGCGGAAAGTCCGGGTTCGAGCCTTGGTTCGGCCCCCTCTTGCCCACCCAGCAGTAATGGGTACTTGACTTCGAGTTGGGGAAGTAAAGGCGGCGTGGAAAGGAACTGACTACCCTACCACAATATGCCGAAGGCCCAAGAAGTTGTCTCGCTAACAAGGCAATCCCCAATGCCCGGATCGGATGCGGGAACAATATAACTTCTTTAATACACAGAATAAAACAACACCTAGACATGGACAGCTGGTGCTTCTCTAAATAAATTATTGACGGTCAGAGCGTTAATAAACCTATACCATTTCACTGTTTGTTTGTTGTTGGGTTTTTTTTCATCCATGCGGTGGAAAGACGTGGTGGAGGCTTACTCGCACCCATGGAAAGCCGGCACCAGTCAGCAGGAGTCTGACGAAGTATCTATACCAGTCCATCACTTTCACCTAGGAGGATATGAACCCTTCGTGTAAACAGGCTCCCGTGACGTGGCATGGAAGTTAGACAGTGTTAAGGACGATAAATACGAATTGTTGCTGGTTTGATTGAGTAAGCGTTTTAAGGCACTCTTCGATAGTTTGGGTCATGTAAGTGCCACTAGCTGCTGCAGCATACAATGAAAAAATGTTTGTAGATACTAGATAAACAGCATTTGTATGCCCCCATTGTATCCATCCTCAACTGCATTCTCTAAACGCAATACAATCAAAATCAAAGGTATAAAAAATATTATTTCCCGAGCAGACCATCGAACAGTCATAAATATTTTCGACTTCCTATGAAACACACAGTGTAAGTTGTAAGCAGAATATAAAGTGTTCAAACACAAACAAACTGACAAGATCTTGTGGTGTCTAAAGCCAGGTACCCATTCCCATCTGGGTCAATCGAGGAAAATTCATGTAAAGCGTCTTTCCCAAGAACACAACTTCGGGCCCCAGAAGGGGCTCGAACCCACGACCTTTCTGTTGCGAGCCCTGTAGCGCTATGACAAAAAGGAACCATGCCTGATGAGTGACAAGGACATTTTCCTACAACATGGACAAACGAGAGGGTGTACCCCAAAAGTACACCCAGTACCAGAAAGAAAATCCTGAAATCTCGAGTGGCTACGCAGGTGGAAAAAAAAAACAAATAGACTAGCACTGTTTTGTCGTGTTCTGTTTTTGGTTCATTTGGGGGTTGTTGTTGGTTTTTTTTTTTTGTTTTTTTTTGGGGGGGGGGGGTTAAGAATAATTTTAATGAGAGTTTTACAGTACTTGCAACACAAATACGTCATATAAGAGTCAAATATTACAGGTGTTACTAGAGAGTGACATACAAAGATGTGCCGAGATCGGAGAACGTGGCCGGAGACAGCCACGCGTGGCGTCGACAGCTCTCCGCCTCATGTACCCGGAGGTATTGGGAGAGAGTAACATACAAAAAGATGCGAGAAGAGAAAAGGACGACGGAGGTTTGAAAGAGAAAAAGAAGAAAACGACAAGAGAGCGCCCGCCAACCACCCACACTGGAGACAGACTGAAAACATTTTTATTTTACGTGTAAGTTGACTAAACTTTGTGAAACAAGACTACGAGAGAATATATTATTGTGATTGCCGTTCCTATGGGTACAAGCAGTGGTACAAGCACATAAACCTGGCTGATTGGATAACTATGAATGGACTGGGTCGACAGATTAACTTGCCCCACGCACACATGGTGAAAAAAGGAACCCAAAAGAATTCACTTTGACCTTTGATGAAAGTTGTTGTTATTGTTGCTGTTTGTTTGTTTTTTTGGCGGGGAGGGTTGTTTATTTGTTTGTTTTTTATTTTCATTATTGATATTATACATTTATGTGCTACTGTTTGTCATCCATCTCCATCCTGATACCAAAACCATGTAATAGATTAAATATCCAAATGCAAAAGGCTTTATCCTCAATGGGTTTTTTTATGCAGGTGTTTTTTGCGCCTCCATTGACACAAAATTTAAACAACGTTAGGAAGCAGACTTCCGACTCTGCCTGTCAGGGACAATCCGGGCTAACACGGATACAACATCCCAACAGAAAGACCGGGATACTCGATAAAAAAAATGTCCGCGACTCGGAAATTGAGCTCAAGTCTTCTGAGTGAGACGGCAAACAGCCCAACCGCTTTAACACATAATCTGGTTTTTGTTTGTTTTAGTTGAGGTTTTACGGCGCTCGCAGCTGCATAAGGTCATATGGGGGCCAAGGGGTGGATGTCAACAGAGAAGCCCCATGGGTGAAAGTGGCAAGAGATGGTTTAGCCTGAAAATTTTGTTGTTAGAGAACGGATAGCCTGAAAAGTTCACGGTAAATTCACGTGGCCTGAAGGATGGGGTACGCTTCTCAATTTTCCTGGGGCATGTTACATAACAGTGATAGCACGTGCTCTATTCAAATATAGTACACACAAACAAGTACATAGCCAACATTATATAGTATGTATCCAGTCAACAAAATTTCAGAGTAGAACAGGAGTCTTGTGTGACTTACGTATTTCAGTCTGTTCTTACTTGTTAGATATTTCCTTAATTTATATTTTCCCCTCATCATTTTATTTATAATATATAAACTATATTATACAAATGAATCCTGCTTTGAGCCTGTGAAAGGGCCTAGAACCAGAACATCGACTGTCAAGAACCAGTCTTGGTATCATGATTCATATCATAAACGTGAAAGACAAAAATTATTGCTCAAACCCAAAGTAGAGTAAAAACTTGAATGGCTCAAGTAGACCTATACAGTGCGAGAATTGTAAGGTAAGAACTGAGAGAGGTCAAGATGCAGTGACACTGAAAATTTGCCAGTCTTGAACAGAAAGCTACTATCACCCATCCAATGAAACGCAAACACTTTAGTTCATCAATAACAAGGCTTCCAAGATATGATGGATCCCGATTCCACACATGGCCAGCACCAAAGCGCACTTTGTAGAGAGCTCAAATAAAATATTTTAAAATAAATGTGCTTCCAAGTTTGTTGTCCTCTGGTGTTGCCTTCCGCACCCTCCCCACCCAGAGTATCTTAAAAAAAATAAC